AAGCATTAAGTGGTTTGGTTAGTTGATTTCATAGTGTCTGAATAACAGCCTACACGGGTAGTGTTGCAGACTAAAAGCAAGAAGGGACTGGTGGTGTAAGAAGACGATGAGAAGAGATTGACAGGCAGAGATGAGATGAGGTGAGGGGACACGAGGGAGGGAAGGTGTACTAGCTGACAACGGGTTAACAGGAATCTTTATTTTTAACAACATGTCATCACTAGCCGCCCATCTGCTCATGTGCTGTCACAGTCCCTTGGGAACATGAAGGGATGTATGTGTGCATGTGTGTGTGTGTGTGTGTGTGTGTGAGGGATGAGAGAGGAAAAGATGTATGCAGTCCCATCACAGATCACATCAGCGATGAGCACCCAAATGAGGAGCAGGGGAGAGGACAAGGTTAGAGAGGTGGGTGGCACACAGATATCTGGCTCATCTAATATCCAAGGTGAGCTGCTGTGTGTCTGTGGCTTATTGAGATTAGTTGGGTCGATCTGTAGCTGCCCTCTCTGTGTTTAGATGGGGGTTGGAAAGGGGGTGGAGAAGGTGGATGAGAGGGAATCTGTTAGAATGGAGGAGGGAGAAGGGCTATGAGTACACATAAAGGGGGTAATGTGATGATGGAGTTCCAGGGGTGGCCCCAATAACTCATCTTATTTATTTCTGTCTGAATAAAATGAGTTCCTGCAGAAGGTGGGAGTGATTTCAGAGAGATATTTACCAGTGGAAGTAATCAGGGAGGGAGGACTAGCTCCAGGAAGGTCTGGGGGTGTTTGGGCACGTGCACATGCACGTCTGGCTAAATATGTGGCAGAAGTTATGAGGTGATTAAATACAAACAACAAACTGTTCTATAATCTTTTTAAACATTTAGTCTGAATGAGAAATCCTCTACTTATCCCAGATTATATTTTATTGTATATCTGGATATTCAAATAGACTCGAGATAGTTATCAAATGATAAATAATAATAATACTGAAAGGAAGGATGCACAATGAAAAAAAAAATAAAATAAAAGACTAATGGTACAATCACACCAAACAGCGCCGTCTGGTGGCTCCCTAGGGGGCCATGGCCTCCTCTTTTAAAACCTCTGTCTGCTCTTAGATAACCAAGGCCCTATGGCTCAAGTCTACATCAATACCCAGAACTAGAGGATGGAGCAGCATCATCAAGTATTTCTGCGAAACCATGTAGCCTGTAGCTCACATATCACCCCCACAAAAGAAAACAACAAAAAAGGCAAAGGGGGAATTTATCTGATTGATAATGTAGAGCAGACATCCCCAAAGTCAGTCCTCGAGGGCGGCTGTCTTGCAGGTTTTAGAGGTTTCCCTGCTCCAACACAGCTGATTTTAATTGAAAGCTGATTAATAGGCTGTTGCTTAACTTGAGTCATCATAATCAGCTGTGCTAAAGCAGGGAAACCTCTAAAACCTGCAGGACAGTGGCCATCGAGGACCGACTTTGGGGATGCCTGATGTAGAGGAAAGCAAAATGCTTTACATTACTTAGAAGACATATGATAAAAATGTTAATATTTTCTCATCTTGTCCAGCTGACCTCCGACAGTTACTATGCACCTAAGGTGGAAAATTTCCAACCCCAAAAATCCCTCTCCAGTTGTCCTATTTTACAATGCCAATCCAAATTCATACAGGTCAAACCCCTGTTTGTGAACACACTGCAAGAACAAAAGTTCTTCCCAGACGACATGCGGAGAACAAGTAGAGAAAACCCCGAAGACATGGCTGAAAGAGCAAAATGTTGTTTTGTTGTTCATGCTGTGGGAATAAGAAACATTTTGCTCTATTCTTGTGGAGTATAGCTATGATTTCAGATAGATACCATCCAGGATCGCACAGAATGTGACTCAGGTTTAAGTTTGTAAATAGCTGATCTAAGGTTCTTTAGCATACTGCCAAATCAGAAGCCAACTTTTTCATTGTGTTGTTTCATGATTTGTGAAGGGCAAGATTAACAAAATTCAGCCAGACCAATATTTTTTATTCAAAAGTCTATAACTTAAGCAATATTAAAATGCAGGCTTTCAGTTTAGTTTGGTCTGACTTCAGGCTTTAATGAATTGTATTGATTATTTTTTTTTTCTTTTTTTTTTTTAATCTGTTGCATTTTTCCTTGTGTTTCCATGAGCATATATATGATGGTCGCTTATATTGTCCTTAGTTCCCTTGTGGTATTTCCAACCATTTGTTCTGAGCCTCAGTTCATGTTCCATCATTTTTTTTCATTACATCCACCTGTTCCTTACTCTTTTAACCATTGCTCCAAGTTAAAGCTCTTGGATTTGATCTACTCTTCCATGTTTTATCCTTTTGTTCCCCTCATCTATCCTATCTATTGCTATCATAATGGGGTCTTAACTCCCCTCACATGAAATTATTTTCTCTGCAGACTTAAATCATTGTTTATAACACCTGTTCTTTACATAATTATCCTACCTGCATCCTGCTCTTGTCTTGTTCCTGCAACACTAGCTGTGTTTCCAGTGACCATTAAATTGTGCAAATTGTAATTCCCAAAATGATGTGGTTAATGGAAATGTGGCAATAAAAAAAAAAAAAAAAGAAGAAAGCGTATGTGTTTTGATGAAAGCTTTTTGCACTACGATGAGGTGGCTTTCTGACCGTATTGAAAATTTTGTAAAACTGCAATATTAACAGCTTTTTTTGCCTTCCTCACAAAAGTCAAAACAAGCAGAAATTACTAGTGGCAGAAAGACAAGGATTACAGCAGGAAATAGTAGGAGATAATGAGTGACAGTATCGTAAGAACAAACTTATTCAATTCAACTCAATACTTTATTAATCCCAAAGGGAAATTGAATAGCATTTCTTTATTATAGAGAATGTTAGTTTTTTTGACACAGCAGAATATGTACGAACAAAGTATGGTGCAAATTTGTAACGGAAACACAGCTACTATTGCCTTTGTATTCCAATACAAATTACATCACTCCATTCGTAATTATCAACTAAATGTGTTTGGCACACATTTCCAGAGAAATCCTTAGCCAGCATTAGCCTTATGTCTGGGCTGAATCTGCAGCTCAAACTGATTACTGAAATCTTTCCTCCCACAGTCTCTCTTCCATTCCCTCATCCTACAGGCAGGGAACCTTCTAATGCTAATTACCGTAGTCCAGAGAAACTAGTCTTATTGAGAAGTCCACTTCAGGCCACACACTTTCTTAACCATCTCAGCCTCACAGGACATATACAATTCAAGCTGTAATGAAGTTACAATGAGAGTTTTGAAAGCACTGTTTTAATGGTGAACACACATATAAAAGGTTAGTAAGCTTAAATAAAGTGTAAAAGACAACAATTTTATTTTGATAGGGGTTAATAGTTTAAGATACTTTGCATCAGGCTCCAAAAGACTTAAAATGTTCCTATCTCCATCTCTTACTTGCATTAATCCCCTTCCTTTCTTCCTTTCTTTACAACCACCATCTCTCTCACTCTCTGTTCACAGTGTTTTCCTCATTTCTGATCCATTTTTTATGCATTACTCCATTACTCTCACTCCCGTTTACAGTGCATTACCTCCTCCCATCTTTCACAAACACACTTTCTCTCTTCTTTTTGTCCTTCTCATTGTTCCCTCACCTTCCTCTGATGTACTATAACACTTTTCATTGTTTCTCTGCGTAACCTTCTTTTTAAATCTGTTTATTTTCTCCGGTCACATCACCTCACACCAAGGATTTCTCCAACATATACACTATATTGCCAAAAGTATTTGCTCACCCATCCAAATTATTGGAATCAGGTGTTCCAATCACTTCCATGGCCACAGGTGTATAAATTCAAGCACCTAGGCATGCAGACTGTTTTTACAAACATTTGTGAAAGAATGGGTCGCTCTCAGGAGCTCAGTGAATTCCAGCGTGGAACTGTGATAGGATGCCACCTGTGCAACAAATCCAGTCGTGAAATTTCCTCGCTCCTAAATATTCCACAGTCAACTGTCAGCTGTATTATAAGAAAATGGAAGTGTTTGGGAACGACAGCAACTCAGCCACGAAGTGGTAGGCCACGTAAACTGACGGAGCGGGGTCAGCGGATGCTGACGCGCATAGTGCGAAGAGGTCGCCAACTTTCTGCAGAGTCAATCACTACAGACCTCCAAACTTCATGTGGCCTTCAGATTAGCTCAAGAACAGTGCGCAGAGAGCTTCATGGAATGGGTTTCCATGGTCGAGCAGCTGCATCCAAGCCATACATCACCAAGTGCAATGCAAAGCGTCGGATGCGGTGGTGTAAAGCACGCCGCCACTGGACTCTAGAGCAGTGGAGACGCGTTCTCTGGAGTGACGAATCGCGCTTCTCCATCTGGCAATCTGATGGACGGGTCTGGGTTTGGCGGTTGCCAGGAGAACGGTACTTGTCTGACTGCATTGTGCCAAGTGTAAAGTTTGGTGGAGGGGGGATTATGGTGTGAGGTTGTTTTTCAGGAGCTGGGCTTGGCCCCTTAGTTCCAGTGAAAGGAACTCTGAATGCTTCAGCATACCAAGACATTTTGGACAATTCCATGCTCCCAACTTTGTGGGAACAGTTTGGAGCTGGCCCCTTCCTCTTCCAACATGACTGTGCACCAGTGCACAAAGCAAGGTCCATAAAGACATGGATGACAGAGTCTGGTGTGGATGAACTTGACTGGCCTGCACAGAGTCCTGACCTCAACCCGATAGAACACCTTTGGGATGAATTAGAGCGGAGACTGAGAGCCAGGCCTTCTCGTCCAACATCAGTGTGCGACCTCACAAATGCGCTTCTGGAAGAATGGTCAAAAATTCCCATAAACACACTCCTAAACCTTGTGGACAGCCTTCCCAGAAGAGTTGAAGCTGTTCTAGCTGCAAAGGGTGGACCGACGTCATATTGAACCCTATGGATTAGGAACGGGATGTCACTTAAGCTCATATGTGAGTCAAGGGAGGTGAGCAAATACTTTTGGCAATATAGTGTATCTTCATCTTCCATCTAGCTTTGCATGTCTTTTTGTGCAGCCGCCCCTCCTTGTAATTGGTTATTCAAAGCATGCCGTGTTCATTTGGTTTCATTGGTACCCATTGTCTTCTCTCTTTTACAACACAATTGTGCAAATGTCAGCAAAATCAATTAGCAGTAAATGTAATTGGCAGAGAAGGCATGTTTGGGAATTTAGGCCATACATGCCATGAGCTGACAGCAAATAATGTTTTTGTGATGAATCACCATATGACAAGCAGAGAAAGGGATAAGTGAGCATTGTTTGTGGAGATCCCGTTGTTTCTAGCTGTAATGATGCAAGTTCAAAAGCGATGCAGGAGTTCGTGTTTGACTGTAGGACACAGCAGGTGGGACCCCATTTTCATAGCTGTGGACAAGATATAAAAGAAATATCATCATTGTGAATAATAAAAACAAATATTTTATGTTTTAGCCAAACATCTGGAGTAGAGAGGATATTATTGGAACGAATAACATTTTGCTAGAGTTTTCAAGAGCATTTAAAGAAAGTCCGATATGGAAGTAAATAAATTTACTGCAAAATTACCACTCGGATTTCAACTGGCTATTTACTCCTGCCCAACTTTGGCTTTGTTCTACTTAATCTATGGACAAAAGGGGCGTCGGATGTAGAAGTTTGCCCTGAAATGGAAAGGTTGATGGTTCAAGCCCCGGCCAAGACACTTCACCCACTGATGGTGCGGCAGCCTCGCTGCTGTCTGTGAGCCCCAGGGCCGCTGTCGCTACAATGTAGTTTGCCATCATCAGTGTGTGAGTGAATGGGTGAATAGCTGAATATAGTGTAAAAAAAAGAGCTATATAAGTACAGGCCATTTACCATTAATCATCAAAACCTTGACAAGCTCACCTAATGTATCACAAAATTAAAAAAATCACTTAATGTTATTGTGTAGCCTCTTTCACACACCCTAAATGATGTAAGATGTGTTTCTGCTGCAGCCTAAGCTTCACTAAACTAGAGACTGACCACTAGCAACAGGTCAGTCTTCTTTTCTGTGTCTACGACATTTATACAAATGTTCACAGACTGTAAAATGTTAGTTAATTGACTGGTTTTACACCTTAGCTTACGGGAAACCATAATTTACAGGTTCTCTTACTCGGTAAAGAATAAGAAAATGTTTTTTTTCTTTAATTGAGGCCGATACAGTCCCTTTCTATTTCTGCCCGGGTAACTGCCAATACTGTTCATTGTAAAAAATTGCCACTGCCATCCTATCATATCCATTGCCATTTCTCCATTACCTAATTTTATTTCATACCAGTAACAAATGCCTACACATTATTTTTGCATATCAGATCATTCATTTCTGCATTTCAGTATTTTAACAAATTATAAATTGATAAGACCAAGAATTAGATTCTACAATAATGTCGTCGAGACATTGACGGCATCTCCAAAACTGTACTGTCTCTGTCCACAGTCACCCCTCACAATAAAGACCAGCTTGCAATTCTTATAAGGATGAATTTAAGAGAGAAAATGACAAGAGTTAACTGACCAAAATGAGTTACTAACACATGAAATGATAAAACCAAGTCTCAGAACGATCCACCAGACAAGATGTCCACTCTCTCACAGTTACCCTCTTGTTGTTGTTGCGATCACAAGACCTGCAAGCACAAAAGATGATGATGACTTCATAATATTGCACTTTCGACTTATTTCAGCAATGTAATTGTATTTGAAACACAGATACCCAAATTTGCATGATTTTGCAGATGTGGGAAACACAGTTGTCATTGTCTTAGATTTCGCTGTTATCTCTGAAGGGTACTCCTTCAATTTGTGTTAATCCATGAGCAGCAGGGGACACAATGGGTAATAAACATTATCATTGCTGGGAATAGCTTGACATTGACTCAGACAGCCCCACTGCCACAAAAAACTGTCACTGAAGACTGGCATAGAGAGCTGGGGGTGGGGGAGGATAGACGAGTGGATTGTAGGGAAAAATAGCGCATGGCAAGATGACAGAAGATAAAATGAAGGGCAGATTGACATAGGAAGAGAATAAATGTGTGAGTTAAAAGGGAAACAGGTTAGATGGGGAAATGGGGAGAGGAAATGTTAAAGAAAGAGAAAGCTAATGGAGAAATTATGTGGTTATATGGAATCAGCAGGGATGACAAGATAGGAAACAAAGATAGGATGGATGGATGGATGGATGGATGGATGGATGGATGGATGGATGGATGGATGGATGGATGGATGGATGGATGGATGGATGGATGGATGGATGGAAGGCTAAAAAACATACTGCAAGAGACAGAAGGTTTTCTACATGAACCTCTGTGTGACATGAGGCCAAAGCAACATGAACATATGAGCAAAATTAGATGACCTAAGGGCTATTTTATAAAAAATAAATCCAAATTAGATACTTTTTGCAGTGATTTTAGCTGGTTGATTAAAAAAATAACTGAACCTATAAAAAAAGTTATACACTTAAATTGTTATTAGCAATATGTATCAACATATCTGTAAATGGGTGTAGATGGGACTGACATGAAAAAGGGTGTAGCACAGTGTTCCAAAGGCATCTTCTTGTAATATAGCTTCTTTAAGTCCCTCCAGCTCAATTTTCCATCCTTGTTCTTGTCCAGTAACGTAAACCTTTCCTAAAACAGGGAAATAAGATACGGTATGTAGAAATTAGAAGCTTGTCATTGTTGGCTGCATTTTAATGCTTCATCATTGCAGCTACATAAATACTGTAAGTTCATATAGAAGGTAGCAATTTCTAAAACAATTACCTTCTGAGATGATTGGTCATTAAATAATGGCCCAATATGTTGAACCATCTGATAATTTCACTAATCATTTGAACTAAGAATGAAATCATAAGAAAATGCATGTTTAAAAAGATTTCAAACTTACATCCTGTGTTTGCATTTACAATGGCACTTTGCAAAGTGCTCCAGCCATACATTTCTCTATATATTCATTTAAATCTACCATCTGATGTGTCTGGTTTCATAAAAATGAAGTGGGCCTATATTTGGAAGTTTTGCAGACTTTGTCTCAGGCTTCAATACCATAAAACCAGAGATCCTAAACAAGAAGCTCACAGTGCTGCTTCCACCTGTCAGCAGCTCAGGCTGCTTAAGCACATAGTTAGCCGTTTTACTCACTGTCCCGAATAATTTTCCTATTACAGCTGCCTGGAGAGGGCTATCACCAAGCTATTATTGTGTAAGGTTCTCTTGTGATTACTGATGGTACATGTGGTCATTTTACAGCCCCACAATAAAATGTATATCGTTGTATTTTTATCTGATTGACCAACACAGAGTAATGCATAACAGTAAAGTGAATTGAAAATGATTTTCCTTCCTTCCTTCCTTCCTTCCTTCCTTCCTTCCTTCCTTCCTTCCTTCCTTCCTTCCTTCCTTCCTTCCTTCCTTCCTTCCTTCCTTCCTTCCTTCCTTCCTTCCTTCCTTCCTTCCTTCCTTCCTTCTTTAAATAAATGTCTATCCATCCATCCATCCATCCATCCATCCATCCATCCATCCATCCATCCATCCATCCATCCATCCATCCATCCATCCATCCATCCATCCATCCTCTGTTGCTTGTCCATCACAGTCATGTTGACCTGCTGCCCATATCCAGCGGTGTATTGCTGTAAGACGGGGACATCCTGCATAGACACATACTCATACCTATGGGTAATTTTGATCAAAAATAACCCTACAGTCGTGCCTTTGGACTGTTGGAGGAACTCAGAATACCTGGAGAGAACTTAAGCACTCACAGGGAGAACATGCATATTCTTACATACTTTGTAGAGTCAACTTGTGTGTTAAATTACACATTTAAGTGTACAAATGTTGGGTGAAGGTCCTAGATGTATGAAAGAACATTATGAAAGTTATATAGACATTTAAGGCATTGCACAACTGCTCAAAAATAGGAAACAGCTCCCCCAGTTTTAAGTCACCACTTTTAAGTCTTTTATTTTTTTTCCCGCTCACTTTCCAATTATGCACTCTTTTGTGTTGGTCCATAACACCCCCTTAAAATAAATATAAGGTAATGTGCCAAATTAAAAAAAACAACAACACAAAACACCAAAATGTAAGAATACTATTAGGCTGTGTAGTTTGAAATAATTTGAAGATATCACCTCAGATCTAACCATGTCTTCATGTAAGTCTATAATGAACATATTTGCAGCTTTTATAAAGTTTTAAATACTCCTGTTGTTTTATATCACACATCAGTTCCATACATTTTAAGTCTGGAGGTCAAGGTTGCCAAAGAGAGGTTCTTAAGTTATCCCTCTTTCATCATCTTACTGAATAATTCAGTGAATATTGACTAAACCCTATTTATACAATGTGTTTCTGAGTTCCCCTATCTCTTTGTGGGCAACCAGGCCACAAGCAGCAGAAGAGCTTTTCACTTAGAGTTGGGTTATTAACATCAATCAGCCACCTGACACTGCATAAAGGGTACCAATATAGTGGTGGTGTGTGTTGTAAAAAAAACAACTTTGTGTTTGGCTTAGTGTTACACTGGGAGGGAAAGCGATCACGTAGCATGTTGTTCTTCCTGTTTAAGCTTTTGGAGCAATCCAATTTGTGGTGGACATTGATTTGCATTGTGTCGTCACATTGGCTGATGTTATGACAATAGATCATGTTTATTCTTTTAACAAAGACCCCATACTTTACCAGCTTTTGGTCACCTCAAACACAAAGCTTTACCTTTGCCAGTTGAGTCCTCTGGGCATGGCTGAGACAGGTTTGTGGCAGAGCTGTGGGTGTAGAGGACTGCCCCATTCGCCTCAGGAGAAGAAACCAGTCCAGGAGACGGTATGGAAACTGGCCTAACTCTTCCTCAGTACATTTGCTTTTGGGGACTGATAAAGGGGAATAAGAAAGCTGATTAAAAAAGCTGGATAGCACTGTGTAATTTCTGTGACATATTGATTGTTTGTGTTTACCAAGACAGGGTCCTGTATGAGCCACCCCAGTGCGTTTCCTCTTCCTACAGGCTTCTTTGTGAAGCAAGCACTCATTCCTGTAGGTCTTTCCAAGAACACTGCAGACTGGTGCCCTCTGCCTGCTTGAACAAGTCAGTGTCCATGTGGATCACAGAGTGTGGAGATCAAACTTCGTAGTTTAAGAAATTTTAAGTTCTCCTACAATTGCTAACCCTTTGTTTTGAGTGTCTTGCATAAGTATTCATCCTTTTATACATTTTAGTTCATGATAACAATCTAATGTAATAGACGAGCACAAAGAAGGGAAAGGAAAAGATATATGATTTTCCAATAAGATGAAAATTAAGGCATGTTTTATTAGTTATGACTCCCATTTAAAACAAGACCTTTATATTTAAGCCAGTCCCTCAAACTATTAATAGAAGTCAGCTAACAAATAAAGTCATTATATGTGTAATTTTATCTAAGTTTAAAAGCAAATATTCTTTGAAGTCCGCAGAGAGCTTAATAGTACCGTTCACTAAACACTGAACATGACATAACAACAGTAAAGCAGTGTTGAAAGAATCCTGCTTTGAGAATGCCATTCTTTAGTGGGAAAGGGGAAATAGGTCAGAGTTTATTAGATGATTGATAGAGATAAGAGATAGATAAGCTTGAGCAGAGATTCCCCTTCGTCTAGGCCTCTGTCCCTAAAGACACAATCCGATGAATATGGGGTTGTAAGAACCAGAGGAATGGTTTAGATCAAAATATATATGAAGTGTTAGGATAAAAAAATATATGTCCAGACAAACGTCAGTGAGAATATATTGATAGACCAAACAAGTCATATAAAAAGCATGATAAAATGCCCGAGAAGTGTATACTTGTAAAGGGATAATCCAAAAGAGTTGCATCTCAAATTACAGTAAAAGGCTATACTAAAAAGTATTGGCTTCAGGATTCAAATGAAGCCGATACCAAAGATTTAAAATAACATACTTTCAAAATATATTTCCTATGTCTTCTACGTCATCACTTTTTAATACTTTCTACTGGTTTGCAAACATTTATTGGTAGATCCAAGAGAAAAATCTGAAAAGTTCAAGTTGTATAAATACTTTTGCAAGAGTGTTTTTGCCAGTTATGAAGGAGGGTCAGTAAAATTATTATTTGTGATACTTCATTGTTAAAAAGTCACATGAAGTTTACCGTGGGCACAACTGTGGACAAACACACTTCGGTTTAAGAATTCCTTTTTCCTGAACCACCTGGCACCAGGATCCCACAGGACTGTGGCATTTGAGCAGCTCACAAAGCTTTTCTGAAACAATAAAAAGATATATATCGTTATTCATGATTTATTCGCTTTCGGTGTTGATTCCCTATAAGGAAGACTTGAGCAAAATATATCAAGATTTTTAAAGGAATCATGTAATGTAAATGAAAGAAGAAAAACGTCAATTGAACGTTTTATCATTAAATTATGCTCCTGACACTTAACTGAAGACAGTAGTAAATGCTCACAATGAATTAGTATAACCTGAATTAATATGTACTACAGCGAATATAAGCAGTCATTGGTATAAAGTATAACAATCAGCTGTAGATAGTGGGAGAATACGATGAGTGCTGAGAAAGAGTATTTTTCTCATATGTATTCATTTTCCCTTTTTTGCACCTGAATCAATTAGAACAACAGTCAAAAACTGAAAAAGATTGAGTAAATACAGACAGCAGTTTTCCACAAATCATTTGATCTATTAAGGGAAGAGCTGTATTGTCTGACAGCTAAAGGAGCGCTAAAACATCACAGACGCAAAGTTCATGCCCTGACATAAGGGAATTAAAAAACAGATAAAAAAAACAATGTTGCTGCCGTCTGTCAGAGTGAATAAGGTATTAAAGGCAGTTCTAAGGCTTTGGGAATCATAGAACAGTAAAAAGCTTTATTCCAAGCACACATAAATATCTCCTCCTGGAGGTCACAGAAAAGTCAAGTTAGCACCAATATAAAAATCTCTGCTGAAAAAAATAAAACAAAGGATCATTTCAAATTTTGCAGAAATTAAGATTATGATAACCGAGACCACTGGGAAAGCCAAATGTCCACTTAAAACACAAAAGTAGATCTTTGTAAAGGGTTACATCTGGTTTAAAGATTGTGATGTGAATTTTAACATTCTAATAATTCCTGAAAGTCCTTAAAATAAAGTTAATTAAAAGACTTTCTAAGGAAAGGTAGTACGAAGTTTGTCCAAAGCAATATTAATTGCCACCTACCTGTATTGCCAGTGCAGTTGTTGCTCTCCATAGAGGCCTAACTTAGGTAGAATGAGTAGAACGCAAAGTGCCTTATTGCTCAGGGCCAGGTTACAAAGCCTTTCTATTGAATAATTGAAATAGAGAGTTAAAGCAGTTTTTGGGATAACTCCTGTTATGTTTCAGTTTGTTCCAGAATTAAGTCTGATTATTTGGAATATTTTGTGTCAGCAAAGCTTTATGGGGGACAATACCTTTCAATACAATGTTTTCTGGTTCTACTTATTTATTACAGTATAAAGACCAAGTTTTTTTTGTTTCTTAGTTTATTTTTTTTGCAAAATTCTTTGTCACCGTTTTTTCAAAAATGAATTTCAGTCGTAAATTAGTCTTACCTGGGTTCACTCTGCCAATGTATGGAGCTAGCCTCTCCTCAGCCTGTCTCTGCCTGCGCTGAGCTCTCCCTCCCTGAACCACAAAGGCAGTATTTTAAAGTTATTTATAGAGAAAATTGGGATCATAAGTGTTTGTTTCATTTAAGTGGCGTTGGAAACCAGTTGTATGCCTCCAAAAGAATGAAAAGATATGTATTCTATCTCCTTTATATGAATATCAAGATTCTTTGAAGTTTATGCCAGAGCAACATCTGCATCCCAAAAGTTTCTCGGATCATATGTATCACAGGTGGTTGAGTGTATGAGCCAGGCTTCTTTAACTGAGATTTCTATTCTGAAACCTAGAACAAACACCTTTTGTAGAAGAAATACTAACATTATGATCAAAAGAAGCTTAAGCTTATACTCAAAGCTGTAGAAAAGTCAAAAATGTAGCATAATTTTCAATCATATGCTGGATAATCATTTTCAGAAAGACTTACGATGGCTCTGAATGGGTAAATGAGGAGAATCAAGGCAAGCATGAAGTTCAGCTTCATGGTGGAGCATTCCACTGCAATAAAAAGGGACAGATTAAGTAAATACATCAATAAAATTATGAGAAATCCAGACTTGGTTTCCTCTATTTTAACTTTTGTAAAACCTGATAGAAAAGGCATCTGATCAAATAATGTGTAAATACAACAGTTTGGTAAGGTGAATCTATTAAGGTTTGTCCTAATGTTTGTTATGGATTAATTTACTGATAATGACATCAATCTGATAAGATGGAACAATATGGAACAATATGGCACACAGAGGCTTCAGAAAACCATACCTCCCACACCCACCCCCCACACACCGTACATTTTCTATCAAAAAGGAATAAAATCAACAACTTATCCTAAGAGCATTCTCAGCTTCTTGTATTTCCTTCTCAATATACTCCTTTGATAACAGAGAAACTTACCGGCACCTTCTGTTCCACTGTTCTTTTGCTGATCTTCTTCACCTTGCCCCAAGGTACTTCCCTTTTCTTTGTGCCTCCCCTCCTCCTTTCAGGCTGTGCTTAAACTTTTCTTTCTTTTCTATTAGATCCTTCAAAGAATAAAAAAGAACAAAAAGAACACATTACATTTTGCTTCAACTGAACTTTTCACTGCTTCATTTTGCCAATACAACTCCAGAGAGAGATAAAGAGGACAGTCTTCTTTAGAATGAAGATGGCATTAACTAAAGTTGGGATTGGTCCACACTGGGACTTATGCATCTATGAAAACTTGCAAACACAATTAGTATGCTCTCCATGCATAAAACACGGCACTAAAGTATGCAATATTATGGTAAAAGTATTAGATGAATGGTAAATAAAGTTACAATGCTGCACTCTAGTGGTTATTCTTATAAATAACAGTTAAACGATGAAAAGGAAAAAAATCTGTTATTTTGCTTTCATTCTAAAATGTAAGTTCTTTTTTCTTTATTCTTTGTTTTTTTTATCCAGATTTCTCCTAAGAATTCAATGAAATAAAAAAAAAAACTGCCTTTCCGTGCACTGAAGGCACTGATTGTTTAAATTGACCATAAGCACAAAACACTAAACAGCTCATGTCTATGTTAAAAGTATTTTTCAATTGGTTTCAAAATATATTTTTTTTCAGGCTCTTTATTTGGAGGTTACTCTAAGGTTGTATGTCAGACTCACACACAGAACACTACGTATCTCTTAAAATTTTAATATTAATAATATTTTTTAAATTAGAGATTAAACTTTTTCCACAAAGGTAACCTATTTTTAGGCTTTGTGTACGGTTGTGTTATATAATCTTTCAAGTATTAATACAGCTACGCCAACATCGTGTTAATCTTAGCTGTTTAGCAAAGATTTGTTTTCCATTTGTGTTAAGAAACAAAAGTTCCTCTGGGAGAAAATCTCTGTTACCACAAACATTTCTGGTAAGTGTTGAAAACAGAACAAATCTAAGCAAAAATTAAAACTTATCATATCATCAACATAATAATTAAGCAATTGAACAAAAAGTGCATTTTTTGCTGAATGGAAAAATTTTAAGTTTCCTTCAAAAATGTATTTTCTTTTGATTTTTATTAATGTGCTTTATTTATTAGCTAATCCGGTCATGTGAAATACACAAAAATATAGAGAAATATATGTTTTTTTCTTTTCTTTTTCTTTTTTTTTATGTGAAAATATTTAACACCAACAGTAAAAGAATTGAAAAATAAAAAAATAATTAGGATGCCTGATTCTTTGGCTGAAATAGGTACCGGTATGCTTTAGAAATAATAGATGGAAAAATAATATAAACTATCAGTTTGTGTAAAGTTAATGTATTATTCAAGCACAGGCGTAACTTTCTGAAGGACTGGTGCGGACATGTCACCAGCAATAATTTCAGTATATAGACTTTGGCTCTCAACAATATGTGGAACAATTTTCTAAATTAGATTTTGCTGCTTTAGAAGGAGGATAATCAATGATGAAGCTGAAAGGGAAAACATCCATCAATCAATCAATCTACATTTTTCTGGATGGAGGATTGAATGAAACAAAATTTGTGTACATACTAGGGGGGCATGTTATATTGCTGATGGCATCAGAATCGGCTTTTATTCATTCTTTTTTTCATGCATTAATCTCTAACTATAGACTAGATATAAACATCAGTGTATTTTTTTTCTTCTGTGATCTCAACAATAGGAAAGCATTCAATAAATATATGTTTGAGCTCATTTTTGGAAAACATAAGCCCTATTGAAAAAGTTTGTGTCAAGTAACTGTAAGTCCATCAGCCACCACCGTTAGAGTGCACTGGAAAAAATAAAAATCTAGATAAGTCATTTTTCTTAAAATAAGTGCATTTGTTCTTGGATTGAGAAGGTAAAATAGCCATTTTGCCAATGGAATAAGACAATTTACATTTAAAATACGAAAAGATAATTGCATTGTCTCATTTCAAGTGCATATTATCTAAATATCTTATTTTAAGAGTAAAAATACTCATTCCATAGGCAAACTATCTCATTTACGTACTCAAATTAAGGGTAAATACACTTAATTTAAGAATTTATTTAGTTATTTCTTGATGGATTTTGCTTTGTGTCCCCACCAACCTTCATCACAAAGTTACACTCTTGTATGCAAGTAATTATTATCAATAAACACTGTGATAGTGACTATTCTTTATAAACCAAACGACAGGTTCTCCTTGGTGAGATTTAGACTTTTTAAATTGTTATTTATATTAAAGTAAAAAAAATATAAAACCAGAAAATTTTAAAGCCAACAAAAAGCATTTAGGTTTACTAGCTCTCAGAAGCTAAAAAATAAAATAAAATTATATATAACAAGGTAGAAGCAGAGACATAGCCAGAAAATTTTAATAGGGATGGCCAGTAAAAAACCAATGTACACTGAGGGGTGGCCGAAAACGGATAGGCGCCAGAACCTCAGGATCAGTCTTAACTGGAAGGAGCACAACATCCATATTTTCTAAATATGACTAACTATGCTTTCCTACCACCTTATCTAACAAATAGACGCATATATTTAAACATCCATTCTGTCTAAATAAAAGGTTTAATGGACAAAATTTCTAGGTTGAACATCTTTTCCATTGTCATTACTTTTTATGCATAATTGTTATTCATAAAATGTATATTTACATGGAATAATATCTACATTAAGTTTTTAATATCTATGATTTCACTAAAGACTCCTAGATGACTTGAAGAGACACATAATTTTCTCTTGTATAACACAAAATTTAGTTCTGAAGAGAGCATAAATTCTATATATATCAACTTTAATGTTAGTATTTTGATGTGTATAATTAACCACTGTGTTTTAGTTGTCAAGTAATTTGTAATAAATGAAAAATGTAAATGTTTAATAAGTTTGAACATTCCCCTTGAGAGTATTACTGCTGCCACCAACCGTATTAAAGAGCGTGGGGAAATGGTAGGGGTGGCCAATGATTGGCTATGGCCACCTCTGGCCCCCCATCTTGCTCCGCCCCTGGGTAGAAGCCTCTCTGAACCAAAGCTGTCAGATTAAAGCGCCCCGTCACTGCAGACCACGGCTGCAGCTCCAAGCTCCGCCTCGCAGGGGAAAGAAAGAGGAGGGCGGATGTCGGAATGAGAAACTGAGCTGCTGCTGGGGGGAAAAGACCAATGCTGCTCTCTGTCGCCTTTCTAGTTTATAATCAAACCGCTGTGCTGTTTCCTCTTGGAGTTTACCTATCTTTGTTTTAGGACTGTCCCTCCTGCTCCGCTCTCAGGACCTCTGTTGTAAGTCCATCTATCAGCTGATATCTGACGGATCGTAAACATTAGTGACGTCGTGTTTTTAAACAAAGATTACAAGAGAAAGATTAGATTGAAAATATGAAAACACGCTTAGTGTAACAGTTTGAAACTTTCATTGTGACTGCCCTTATCTGGGTTTATTTGATTCTGCAGGCGAGTCCAGCTTCTTTACTGCATCTTTGGATGTTTTAAACAGTCAGACATCAGGTTTCATTGCTCTAAATCTTTATTATTTTGCTCTACAGGTTATTTGCAAAGAAAACAAGTGGACTGCTTGCTCACTATTTCTTTGATTTTATAGTGGCGTGGTTAAGGTAAGCCTTGATCTAAACCATTCAGAAAATGTGACATTGTATTATTATTATTATCTTTATTTTATTTTATTTTTTACCATATTATTTTTTAAGTGGTTATCTTCCAGGATGTTCAAAAAGGTCCTATGTTTTCTTGTGTGATCACCCCTGTACTAATAACATAAAGTTACTATTACCTGATTGGAGTTGGAGGAGTATTGGCTCAATACAAATCCCCAACGCATGTTTCCAGATTAATACTTGTAAAAGAAAAAGAAAAGTGAAAATATAATCTACTTTTTGGTAGTTTTTTGTAGAGCAGCTGTATGCTCAGTGTACGTCACATTATTGAAGGGCAAGTGATAATGACTCACACAATCATAAAGTTTCAGCTGACAGAAGTTAGCTTTTAACCAGGGCTCTTGATGCCATATGATAATATTTTTACACTGCAGCTGGCCAGTCGAGGCTCTACCATGATGTCTAAGCATGCATATGTGTGTTCCATTTAAAGCTGTGATATGTACAGCCCAGACGGTGTAAAGCACCATGGCTTCAGTGCACTAGTTGTCCAGGATAAGGCGGGACTGATTTACTCACAGTGTCAGTAATTGAGAAGGACACCTGTGGTTTGTCTGGTATTAGGGCGGTGATGCTCACGTGCTCCTACATGCAAATCCATGTGTTTTCCTCAGGCACCAGTTGGCAAAAGCCATGGTGCACCACCTTGGCTGAGTGTGTGTTTACAGACGAATTGCATCAACAGCAGCTGAACATCCACAACGACTATAAAAGACCACCCAAATAGCCATTCAGAAGCTGTGTTTATTTTTCTGTACAGTGCCCTTAATGGTCTGTATCTCTGCGACATGACCACGTGTGAAATCACACACTTCTCATTACTCTGTGCATTGCAGTCATTCCAAGACAGCATGGTGCCCAGGAGGGGCTCCCCTGAGGCTGATGGGAAGTTAAAATGTGCTTTCATCATGCTAAGAGGGGCTATTTACAGCATGCAGATGTGTGAAGTCACTTGTTTGACATTCACCATAGATCAAGGTGAAGATTCAACAGCATCCCACACAATTAGCTACATGCAAACATCCAACTTCCTTCATGTACTTCTATGTTTCTCTAATGTTATTGGTGAAATTGTTTAGAGATGCACAACAAGACAAATGAAAAGCATAGTGGATATCCTTCCATTGATGTCTGGTCATATAGGTTTGCCTCTGTCACTGTGATGCTGTCGACTCAAGCTACTTGACTTTGACTTTTCTCTTATCCTCCTTGCCCGTCGCTGCATGTGTCCTATCATTAGAGCTATACTTAGCCACGCTTATCAGCACCGTCTTTCCCTTGGTAAGACCACAGATGTTTAAATCCTTGGAATAGTTCCCTACACACAGTGTGAAACAGAGACACGAGGTCTGAAACTGACAGACATTTGGAGCAAGTGTGATCTGCAGAGATTTGGAAATTCCCCTGGAATAAAAAAAAAAATCAATGTGACAGATGGGCAGTATTTTAAAACCCTTGTTTGGAAAAGTGAAGCAAGGATTTAACTTTTATATTTTTGGTGGCCTAGTTGATTCTTGAGGTAAGATTTGGGAAGTGGCGGCCTATTGTTTAGGGCGGAGGTCTTCAAGAGGGGGTCCGCGACCCCTAGGGGGTCCACGGAGGTACTGCATGGGGGTCGCTAAAGTTTTGGTTGATTCCAATTAATTTTTTTTTTATATTCCCCCCTGCAATTTTTTTCCACTAATTAAAATGTCTTTAAACACATTTACACGAATTCAACACACTGTAGTAAACAGATAAATGGAGGCAGAAGATGTCTTTCAGTCATCAATGCACACATTCAACGACACACAGGAGATCTTTCAAGCTGGGCATAGTTTCATTCACAACACCTGTCCCATCAACCAGGAATCACAATCAGAAATATTTTAATAATCCCAGGGAGAAATTACTTTCGTTACATTAGGACTAGTTTGATATAACCCAATTTCATACCATATACATAATAAGGGGGTCCCCGCTCCATCTCGCCATTGGTTTGGGGGTCCTTGGCCTGGAAAACGTTGAAGACCTCTGGTTTAGGGCATTGCGCATTGCACTCCCACGGACTGCCACAATGGGTCCATTTCAATGGCAGATTTAAGAGTGGACAAACTCTTAATTGTTTGGTTAAGCTCTCACCTTTACATGAATGGAATAATCTTTAAAGCCTAAGCTGAATATAATTTTTATTTATAGTTTTTTTGGCAAACTGAATCACAATAATCCACACAGAGATACACTTTGTTAATTTTCTATCTGTTTGATACTTGTATATTTATTTACCTGTGAATAAAAGATTAAGAAAAGACAAAGAAAAAAAACAAAGATGGATAATTTTCCACCATCATATAAGTTTTCATTTCCTTGTTCTCTAGAGGTAAATACTCCAAGTGAACATACAGCAGGTCTTCAATACAGCAGATCAGTCACTGCATTTACTCATAACAAGAATAATAGAAATGTTATTGTTTTCTTTTGTCTAAAAATATGCTGCTTATGAATACTTGGAAGGAGACATTCTCAACCAGTTGGGGTCGTGAGATGATTTCTGGGGGTCAGCAAATTATCTTGGCAAAATATAAATGTGCAAAATGAATGTAGGTACTGAGTGGACAGTAGAAGACGTTGGTCTCAAACGGGTATTTTCAAAACCAGTTACTGTAAATCATTATTAGGCTTCACCAAAACAACAGCAACAAACTTGTCCAGTAAGGTTGCAGCATTTAAGAGAAAGCTTGAGTGGTGGGCTATGCGAGTGGATGAGGGTTAAATGTTGAAATGTTCCTGGAGCTTTAGGTCTTTATGGAGAGTTATGACATAACCATTCAAACTATGAAATGAAGTATTGCCTCTCACCTCAGAGCCTGCTAGAAAGTTTTAATAAGTATTCCCCAAATGAAGACAGGCCAGAAAAGTATAACTAGTTACTTGATAGGTCATTCTTTCACCACCTTCACCATGCATCACTGGTCACCAGAGCCACAGGACGCCCTGATCGATCTGATCAGACCTTACAGATTGCAATGTATTTACATAGATTGCTACTTGAAAAGGTTGAGAACCACTGCACTAGAGGATAAAACTTTAAAGATTTCACAGTTCAAGAATTGGAAGCATGGATTTGTAATTTTTTGAGCACCAACCTGCATGCATGTTAGGTAGAACCTGTTCTTTTTATGTCTAGCACTTTACAGGAAAATCATCTTCCCTAAAGAACTAAAGAAGACTGTAAATGCAGAGGTGGCTAATTGCATTAATCAAGCATATTGGGGAAAGCAGAGAGCTGTGTTCAACCTTTTTTCAGGATGGTTAATCCCATATATATTCTAAGAAATCTACTGAAGTGGAATTTCATTCCATCTTGGAGGGGCATGTCCTGCAAGTCAATGACTCCGTGCATTCAGATGGTTTTCTTTAGATCGAAAACTTTTTACCAACCAGACTGTATGATCTAATTAAATTCTCTGTAGAGTTTTTTGAGATAACATGTGTTATGAATTGGTGCTATATAAACAAAGACAATCAAAAATAAAAAAAAATTTATTAAGCAGAAAGATTAACTGATACATCGGTAGACCAATGTTAGGGTTTTTTTCTTGCATCGTCATTGGCCAATTCGTGCAACCCTTCCTTTGATGCTTTAGTGAATTCAACATTCATTCCTTGAGAACACCTTAAGTACATTTGAAAATAGTTGTTACAACAGCTACAGTTCCATACTTTACTTTGAATAAGGAGAGGAGCAAGATTACTTACCCCAAAGCGACTCAAAGCCACATAAATGCCATCTGCATCATTTTATTTCACATTTATAAGCCCAATTTAATATTATTTCCCTATTTGCTTCATTTTGCTTCCACCTTAGCATCAACAACAATAAGCTCTTTTTTATTTCTGTAGTTGGGAGGTGGGGGCAGGTTAAGATCATTAAGTCTCACTGTATAATCCTTTAACACTTTGTGTCATGTGATCTGGTCTTTATGTCCATTAGGTCACTCACTGAAAAAGTTCATAAGACTTTCTGCTCTAATATGTGTATTTTGGATTGCACTTCTTTGCTGGAAATCTAATGAGCCATTGAAAGGGCCCACTGTGGGACCTGCTTTAATTTGAAATTATTTTCAGTTTATTTTCTTCATCTGTTTACATCAGTAATTTATTTCTCAGGTAAAAATATTGCTCTGATGCCTTAAATAATATCGTATAATAAAAATCGTACTGCTGAGGTGTTGCAATAATTTGACTCATTTGTTATCACTGTAACGCTTAGTTTTCCAACTGATGGATTTGATGTTTGAGAAAATATTGTGTGGCAACTTTTTAATTAATGTTCCTGTTGTCAAGGGCAAAATCAAATGCTTCCCTAAGTGCATTCATTCACTTACACCAGCATCACTGTGATATTCAAATAGTGTGTTTGCATGGCAGATTAACAGCAACCTTGACTGCCATTGGTGCCTGATGCATTTTATTTAATCCTTTTTGTCATTGTTCTTCAAACGCAAATAGATTTACAAAACAATAAGTCACATAATTATTGAACGCAAATAAAAATGGCTACACTTTTGATATTAACCATTCCAGCCTAAGAGCTAAGAACAAAGATACAGAGGGACTTCATTTCATGTGGCGCCCCCCCTGCTACCCTTTAGCTACACAAGGAACTGTTTGCATTTAAGAAAAAGATCTTGTGCTGCAAGACATACTTGGTATTAAAAGCCATAAGAAGATTGATTGGAAAACAAGGAGCTGCAGGAAAATGGGACCAAATGGGAAGTTGATGTAATTGTATAGCATTTACCCACAAATAATATAATATCAGCCAGGGGCCATGTACAAAGTGCTAGTCAGGCTGTGATTTATTTTATTGAATTTACTTTATTTTTTTAAATCTGTGTTAACTGGAAACTGTATGTCCTCACTATGTATTTTATGTCTAAGATAACCAGAGGGAAAAGAAAAAAGCTGTTTTCAGACGATGATAACAAATGTTGAATAAAAAAAGGGATATCCAAACAAACCTAGCCACAGGTGGAAATCTAACTACCTCCTTGTTAGTTAAGTTGTCTTTGATTATAATTCAGTATCACAACCTGATCTTCATATTCAATGTATTACTTCAAGAGAACCTGTCGGACAATTTTAAGAAAAGTATACAAAAATAGAAAAAAAAAATTACAGCTTGAATTCAATAAGGCAATAAAGTATAAGAATCAGTCATTAGAATATATATGGAATGGCTACAAACCCATTTCTAAGGTTCCGATGCTCCAGCAAACCAATCAGAGTTGTTACTGACACATGGAACAGTTAAACTTCCCAGGAGGGTCCTGCCTATGAAAAAAAAAAAAAAAAAAAAAAATCAAGGTGCAATGCCAACTCATTAAGAAAGATCGCGAAAAACTATAATAGTAGTCGAATACTGTTTACTGGTGAGACCACAGGGGGATTTACTTGAAGTTGTGTTTTAAAGGACATCATCCCTACAGTTAAACAGGCCAGTTGTGGTGTGAAGATCTACGATTAAATTATTGGAACTGTAAATTTTCTTATTTGGCCTCTGAAGGAGAATATCCCTCCTTCAGGCTTTGGTTATAAGGTCACCAGTGAATCCTCCTCTACTCCTCTAAAAAAGGTTAGAGAGCAGGCTAAAAAGTCTGAATAGTTAATACTCTGGG